TATGTATATATATAATATATAATATATGTATATTTTAACAAGAGTAGATATACACCTGCATCAATTTCTTGACTACATCTCTTCCCAAAATGTGATCAAACACTGCCTGCAGAAATTGATCACTAATTATGCTTAATTTTAACTTGTCTCTATGCCATAATAATATCCTTGATTCTTCCATAGCTGTTATTGATACCTAACAAATAAATTGTTATATAAAACTAAAAATATGCATCTAATGTATGTAATACGTCTATTTTGCTATGGACAAATAGATTTCTATTCATAATTCAAAAAGATATATAAACCTGAAAGTACTCGTCTGTAGATACACCAAACCATTCTGGAGAATCGAGGAACTGATGTGGGAAGACAATGTGTAATGCTCTTCCATTTTGTGAAACTACTAATCTGAAGAAATATGCACAAAAAAATTTAATTTTTTGTTTCTAAATCTGATAAAATATGATTTATTAAGATTTATACTGTATACAAATAAAATACAAATAAAATATGATTTATTAAGATTTATACTGTATACAAATACTACAATGCATGGTATTTGTAATATAAACTTACTTTCCAGAAAGTACCAAAGATAAAGAATCAACTTTGGTTACTTTTTCTTGGGCATAAACTTCTTGATATTTCAACTGTCGAATAACCTTCATACAATTTAATACTTTTTTAAACTGATGACGTGATACTCTTAATGGCTGGAACACTGCAATATATACCTGTATGAAAAAGAATGAAACGAAATATGTCATTTATATTGCATTATTAATTGCAAAAATTGTAATAAAATAAAAGAAAAGAATCTATTTTAGCAACTTTTTTGTGTGTATACGTGTGTGTGTACACATACACAAATTATTTTTTATTATATGCTTGATAAATCAATTAATAAATTACTATTTACTTAAAGAAATATAATATTAAATCACTAATATCACAAAAGCATTACAGAAATTTGATGGTACAATGAAATTATATTGCTGAAATTGCATATATAAAAGTGCAAAAAAAAAGATGCTATATAAAATGTTTAATTCTAATGCAAACACCATGGCCAAACACACAAGCAATTTATTGTAATTAAAATTCTAATGTATCCATCTATATAAGCTAAAACAAGAATAATGCATCATCTATAAAGACTAGAAGTTAGAATTAGAATTTAGAGAAACAAAAAAATACAGTGTGTAATTTTGTATTCTACATATATGAAATATTAATTTATAAGTGGACAGACACTTTAATACTTACAAAAGTACAGTTCTATTATATGACACTAATTATATTAATTCATTCATGACATATTTAATATTTAATCTTTTGAAATAATTCTATAACATATATATCTATTTAAAGTAATTAATAATAGAGAGCATTTTTATTTAGCAACAAAATCTAATTACTTTTAAATCTAATTACTTTTAAATTTAGATGTTCCTTACATAATATATTTTACCCACATGTGTAATTCCAAATATTGAAATTTAAATGCATTAATATCTTAAATAACTTCGTGAATTTTGAATAATTAATAATTCAACAAACAATGTCCTATGATATTACGTTAAACAATCACTCCTTCTGATTTTTCTCTTAGCTTACCTCTTCAACTTCCCTTGAAAACTTGATAGGCCTGAGCTTGTAAAGAAGCGTGCATACATGGACGAAGTTGATGGCAACAAATAGAGCATTCCAGAGAGCAGCATCCAGCCAACAAGCTATTGTCCAGCCCCACAAAGCAAGAAAGGCACAGCCCACGAGCAGAGTGCACCTTAAATAAAGTACACCATGTATGCCACTTGGTGCAAGATGTGACAATAAAAAGAAGGCATTTGCTAGTTGAAAATAGATGTGGTTCACAGAAATTCCTTGATATGGTTGGCAGGTAAGAACTCCGTACAGAAAAGTTGGAGGCACTATCGGCGAATGAGGAGAACCAGATCCTTGACTGACCACTGATAGACCAGTAGCTGTAAAGTATTTCTTTTTCAAATATTTAGTAAAACCAATTATATTTATTAGTAATAATGTAGTAATAAAATTCTTTACGGTAAATTCTTAAATATCATCTTAAAGAAATCTGATAAAAATAACAATAATATATATTTAAAATATATTAATATACTATTATATGACACTATCATATTATATACGTATACATACTAGCTCTATTATCAGTGGTCACATTCCTACATTCGTCATCCTCATGGTGTGTTGAAACTGGTAGTGATACTTCAGGTGTAACGGTATTATGGGGAACATTAAACGCAGCCGCATTTGTTAAACTGCCATCGATACCAAAAGATGTCCAATATAGAAATATAGAAAATAAAATAGAAGCACGCCAGCCTTCTCGGCTTCCTACAGGATCAAAACAGATCCACATCCCCGCATCACCACCAAGCTAAATCAATTTCGTCTTACTCTATAACAAAGAAATAAATAATTCTCAATTATAGAAAAATGAAATTAACTACAATACAGGTACAATTTATCATACTTATTCATAGATGTTAAATTATATATTATATGCCACTTGTAAATATTCTGTCATTTTTCACATTTCTATTCTCAGCTAAAATTAAAGCTTGAAGACAAATACCATCTTGTGGACATTGAATTAAAGAAAGGCATTTGCATTACCAACAGCTGTAGGAAGACTATAGAAACATCTGTAATATAAATATGTATGTAATATAAATATGTATGTATAAAGCACTCCTATAAATTTGGCATGTTTTCCTACTTGTTAGAAATGTTTAATTATATCATCTATAATGCATATTAAAGCATAACTTTGAAAAAAAAAACGTTGAGAATTTTCTAATGAAATTAATAATCGTTTAATTTTCTGGATTCAATGGAACAATAAAATTACTAATTGAAATATAATTGAACGAAAAAATTACAAATCTTGTTACTTCTTATAACAATGAAACTGAAAGATTTCGTCGATTTCGTCCTTTGATATCTTTTTTTTTTTCTTTTGTGAATTCGTAAGAAAAAGATAATGGTTCGAAATAAATATACTTTATGCTGTATGTAAGTGATCGTGGATATTGACGCGTGTTACAAAGTATCGTATCGAAATCAATAAATAACTTACTCATGGAAAATTTGAAAGGATAGGAACGTACGCAAGGCATACAGATGAGAAAGTAAAACTACAACGTCAAGTAATTTGATAGAGAATAAACCGAACTCGTATACGAAACAAACTTGCTTATCTAATGAACGTCAAATTAGCAGAAAGACGGTACTTTAGCAAGGAGGAGTAAAGACGACGGTAGAGAACTGGGAAACAGAAGGGGGATAAAATAGGCCACGCGGACCCTAATTTAAGGTTTGTTCAAAAATTTACTAGCGCACAATGAACGTCGTTTCAAACAAATAATTACCATCAGAAAATTAATTACAGGTCGAATAGCAATTGCGAATTGAATCAATTGTTTATTATTTTACAGATTATATATCAGCTACAAATAATTTATTATTTCAAGGAATACCAAAGTATCCAATAAATGCTCAATCACGTTATATCACGAGAACATGTTATATTTCAAACATTTTGTTCTACGATTTTTTACCGAAATGAAAATTTTTCAAAATATTGCGCTTCTACAGAGAACGTGCACTTGAAAATAGCTTTAAATTGCACATCGTGCAATTAATGGACGAAAATTTGTATTATTAATATTTTTCTCTGTGTGTGTATATATATATATGTGTACTTTTTGAAATTCTTTCTGCTTTGTTTATAGGCAAATGTAATAATAAAATGGCAACGGAGAAGGATTTAATTAATGGTATTTATCAATTGTATAAAATGTTTGTATTTTTTTATCTACTATATATATTTTATCATATATACTCGTATATTCTCTTTAATAATTTTTTATTGTACATATTCATATAATATTTCTTATTTAAATATGTAATTTTTTGTAAATACGAGATGTATAGTTTTCTGGTAATATGTGATATTCATTTTTGCTGTAAATGTATTATTTATAATATAAAAATAAATAGTATTATAATTAATTAAATGTGCAATATTTATATTTACATCATTTATATT